AGTTGGTAAATAAATAAATATGTTGAACCCAGCCACACAAAACTGACACAGAAATACCTTGAGATAGCAAAGCAGTGGGCTGCAGGAAAACAGCATAAAGCAAGAACAGCTCAAATCAGGGAAAAAAAGGAATTAGAATGAACACATTACAATTCCACTTGATTTCCTAAGTTCCAAAACTTTTGAAAACTACTTTTGAAGGACTACTGATCTGCCATTGAAAGCATTCCAGCGGGAGGACAACACAGCCCAGGGGCACTACACACACTAAGAATGCCAGGGACACAGCCCATGGAGCACAGACACTGATGGTAACACCTCCCAGCAGAACCTGTATTCATAGCACTGCTGGGAGCGGCAATGCACAGCACAGCACAGCTCAGGCCATTACTCACAATTAGCTTTGCCAGCTCTCCATCCAACTTGAATTCACACGTCCAGATTAACTACCAGCAACGCAGAGTAGCGAGGCTGGCTACGTGGTCACTGAGTCTGGACAGACACCCCGAGACAACACTTCAAGAGATGCCAACAAGCCCTTTGCACAGCAATTCCCACTACTAACGTATTTTCCCAGCCACTACCAGTGACACCTGGCACACACACACTGGATGGTGGATAGTGGGCAAGATCGGGTGGTGGCGGCACGCTGCTCCAAGACACACACTCAGCACACAGGCAGCAGTGATGTGCTGCAAATGCATTTCCTCCTGCACCCACCAAGGCACACCTGCCACCAACGCCACGTGCTGGGTGTGGTGCTGTATTGGAAGCTCTGGTACTTTAAGGAGCTGTCCTGAATGACAATCCCGGCTGCGCCTGCCAGCATAGAAAAGATGTGAAAGTCACTCTTTCTGTGCCTGCATATGGCTCTAAAGAGGACAGGCACAGCCTCGTGCGACAGGGAAGCACAGGAGCAATTCTGCTGTCTTCGGTCATCCAGCACCACCGCTTTCAGAAGATGAACATATTTTACTTTTTTGCTCTTCTTACCTCTGCACACTATGACCTTACATCCACCATCTGTGTCACTCAACCCGGAATGAGCTCTGTTGCCACTGCTTATGGAGGAACCAAACCTGACAGAGCAGCACCATGGCCCTGCCTGGGGAAGGCAGAAAGGAGGGACGTGCTTCTGCAGCCTGTGCCCTGCCCTGCACAGTGTGGCCCCAGAGCCATCCAGCTGTCCAGGGCAGTGAATCCAAGGTCAGTGTTTGACATTAAAGACAAATACTTCTGATTAACTCCTCATGAGAGATTTTAACTGTCATGGTAAGAACCTCCACACAGAGGGAAATCAATAGTAACTTCCCAAAGTTACTCCTCATAAAGCTGAGCACCACTGAGTGCTTGAGAACAACCCTGCAGCTCCACTGCTCTTTTGACCTGAATTTTTCTTCCCTTTTTGCAAAAAGTTAACAGAGATAAATGTCCACAAGACACGGAATGGAGATGCCCACAGACACTCATCGTGATGCAGGGCGTGCACCTCCCGCCCTGGGGATGGGTTGGTGGTGCAGTACAGCTGGCTACGGACCTCGATGGCCTTCAGAGGGCCGCACGTGGACTTCAGCAGCTTCCCGAAAGAGCTGTTGGAGATTCTCATGGCGTTCGGGGCAGGTAACCTCGTGCTCCCTCCTGTTCCGCCGGCCGCTTTTCCCAGCCTTCCCGCACCAGGTGCGGCTGAGCGATGGAAACAAAGCCCCGGACGGACACGAGCCCAGCCGCTGCCCGTTCGCAGGCCGAGCCACGGTGCCGACGCGTCGCGAAGACCCGCGGGGACACGGGCCGCCGCAGACACAGGGCGAGCAGCCCGCGGGGCGCCGAGCTGCCGCCGAACGCCGACCGAAGGCGCAGCGTCATCCCGCGGGCGAGGCTGCACCGAACGCCGCTCCGCACGGCAAAGCGCCCCGGAGCCCCGCCGGCCCCCGCCCCGACCCCGCGGCGCCGCACCCCGACGGGCGGCACGCCGGCCAGCACGGCGCCGCGCTCGGCCCCGCACGCGCACGCCGCCACCCCCCGCAGCGCTCAGCCCGGGTTCGGCCGCGCCGCCGGGTCCATCTTAAGGCGAGGCCCGGCCCGGCCCCTCGCCGCTCCCCGCCGCCCCCGGCCCGCCGCCGCCCTACCTTGGTGTACAGCTCGGAGGCGGCCATGGCGCAAGGCGCGGCCGCGCTGCGGCGGGCTGACGGGCGGTGGCGGGAGGATGCTCAGGCGGCGGCGCGGCGCGCCATGTTGCTGCTACCTGGCGGGCTGCGGGGCCCCGCTCTGTGCATTGTGGGAGCGCGGCGGGCGGGCGGCGCTGCCTCCCACCGGCGGGCGGGCGGCGGAGTGCGGAGCGCCCGGAGAGCCGCGCCCGGCCCGGCCCTGCCCTGCCCGCCCCCGGACCCGGCTGCGCCGAGGGGGCCGGGCGGCCTGTCCCAGCCCGGCGCTGCCGGCTGCTCGTAGCTGGGCACAGTACCGCCCAGCTCGTAGGCAGAACGCTGAAGAGCTCTGGGCTCAGAGCGGCGCGCGCAGCTCCGAACTGAGGGGCTGAGAGAAATAAACGTCTCCAGAAAATGCAGCTCCCTCGTCGGAAGGGAATGCGAGCAGCACCTCCGCTTAATCAGCCCGTAATGGGTTTCCCTCAGCCCGCGTTGCAGCTCGGGTCCTTGGGATGGCAGAACTGCAGCGCTCCCATGTGCGCCCTTCGCCTTTGGGAACGCGCCCAGGCGCAGAAGTGCTTTGACCTGTGACCGCCACAGCCCTGCAGAGCCCGGCCGCGTCAGCAGCAGCTCTGCGTTCCGCCGGGATCTGGACTCCCCAGCAACCTGCCCAGTCTGTCACAGGGGACAGACAGACCCGCTACGCAGATAGAGACAGCTGGCTGCGGGGTAGATGGGGTCCTTCAAACCACGCCTCAAGAAGTGTCTGCAGGAATAAAGACAAAGTCGTGACTCTCAGCAGGCACTCCCAACAACTGCTGCGGTCTGGCTGTACTTCACTGTTACTTGAAAGAGAGGACACGGGGAGACAGACGAAGGAAAAATAAGGACAAGTAAGATGAAAACATGGAGCCCTACCTGTGTTCTTTGTATTAGATGCAGCTGTACAGTCTTCACAGTTAAACCAATAACTGGCTCCTGTGAATGGACATGCAGGTGAGGGATGAGCTTTTTGGCCAAGAAGTCTGCACAGCTGCTCTTCATGTGCACCTGTGGCGAAAGAGAGATCCACACTAAAACCTATCAGTCTGCTTCCAGACATAACAAACGAACACATCCACTTGGGCTCCAGAGCAACTAAGACTATCCTACAGGTATCCTACAGCACACCTATGTATGCTGCTCCACATCTGATACTCAATGCCCTTTTTCAGACAGCATCTATTCTATGAGAGACACTAATTTCAGGAGTTTGCCTGGCCTGTGATTACTGCATCTCAGCTGGAGCTCAGGAGCAAAACATAATTATAAGCACCAGCAGAAAATAGGTGTGAATACAAAATCCGCTATGATTTGACACAATTTGCATAAAGCTGGATTTCACACTTGTCATTAAGGACAGGAATTGGGAGCACTGAGAGTTGATAAGAAACAACCTGATTGTAATGTAGATAGATTGATAGCTTCATTGTTACTTCAAGAAACACCTCCTGCATCATGCATCTAATGGTAAGATTTTAATGATGTTCCCATCTCATACCTGTTAGCCTTCCTACTTGGCTGTTGTCACATCATGCCTTACATAGGGAGCAGATTCTGCATTGGCCATTCTATGATTATATGACTCTCTGAAATTCCCATGCAGAAATCTTGCCCCAATTAACTTGCTAATTCTACTAGGCAGATTGCTCTGGAACATCACATAGATGTCTTCAACAGCTTACAGAAATTCTTTCAGAGGCTTAAAACCATCACCTGAGAACTGATGTTCAGAAGGACCCACAGCTCTCGCTTGGCTCTAATTTCAGCCTCAGAGTTCAATTCCAAGAAAGCACTGCACATTTAAAAATGCTCTCAAGGAAGACTCACACGGATGTTTCTTCTTCAACTCTATTGAGGAAACAACTCTACAGATCTTGTATGGAATGTCAACAGCTATTCTGTACTATTGCCTAGGGATGCTGATACATTACCCAAACATACCTCTTTTATTGAAAGCAACATTATTCTCCAATAAAATAAACTAAGGCCAACTGAAATCTGTTTTTCAGACAAAATCAGAACAAAAAGTACTAGTCCCAGTTTTAAAGCACCTATGTCTGAAGAGGGTAGAAGCTTTGTCATTATTTTTTTCCCACCCGTCAGTGTGAAAAATAGGCTTCAGTGCCTGCTATGTTCAGACATATCTAGACTTGAATCTGTAAGGGGTGCTACTAGAGGAGGAATGATCAGACAACACAGTCAGTCTAACTCCACTTTTAATTAAAACGTATTCATCCTGCTCACATGCTCTACACCATCCCCAGTCTGTTCTCTCCAGCCCACAGAATGCCCCCAGCCATCAAACAACACGTTACTGCAATTCCACCTTCCGCCTGGTGAACGTCCAGGAGTACAGTGACTGCACACCAAGCTCCTGAGGGCTGTTTTGTGCAACTGATTTAATTAGATTTGGGCATAAAGCTGTATTTGCCTGACAACTGATGCCCCTCCCCACTAGAATTAGGATACTAATGCCTGTATTCCTTTGCTCTGCCTTGGTGCAGCATCTGGATGTTGCTACTCACATTGGACACCTCTGGTTGTTAGAGATGCAGGGTACAGAGGGTGTTAATATGACATGGTTGCCATCTAATTGCATACTTATACCACGTGGATCTTGAAACTGCACAGGGACCAGTACCTCAGTCACTGTATGTGACTTTAAAAGTAGTTGGATTTTGCCCAGTATCTTGATTTCTTGGAAACTGCTGGGTTCAGGTTAATGCAGCCTACAGTGATGCAAACCTCCAAATGCCAGCTTAGCTCCCAGAAATCCCCTTCAATCAGTATAAGGGACCAAAACAATCACCTGTTACGGAGTTTTCAAACAATAAGCTTTAATTGCCTTATTAGAAAAATAAGCACTGAAATATATATAAATGTGATTACATTAAAGTAATTCTGTAGTCTAACATACTAGGAAACCAAAACCCAGTCATATTTTTCACGGTACAGAGTAGCAAGATTTAGGGTTTAGAAACTTTCCATAGAGAACAGGGAAGTATGCAGGATCATTTAGGAAACCACAGTAAAGACGAGACAACTCTCCACATTGCAATAAAAACTAAGTAGATCAATTTATTCTGTATACTATACAATGTTTAAGTTTGTAAAGAACAGTTGACATTTTTATCACCTTAACATTTTGACTGGGTGTAGTTATGTCCAACAAAATGTACTCCTTTTATACAAACACTGTCCTACTACGTAAAGTACAATGAGAGGGAAGCCTTTGGTGCTACAAATTTGGGGGTGTATCCGTGAGGTTGGAATTAACTCACTTTTAACTATCTCGAATAAGATGTTGGTGCTATCTGCTATGATAAGCCTAGATGAGTACTAGTCTAATAACGAAACACTGTCTATGTTTAAAGGCAAAATATGAAAGGGACTGCCAGTCTACAGCGTGGGCAGGTTTTCTTCGAAAAAGGTCATTATCAAATGGTAAAACTCATATAATACATTATGTACATACATTTGGATAGCTGAGTTATCTTGCTGGAGCAAGCTGAATGTAAGCATCAATCTGCAGTCACATTTGCTTTACTGTTACATGATTATTGAACTTCCTAAGTTTCAAATGGTGTTTAGAACCAAAACAGCTGTGCCTGCTGCTTGAGGTCAGTCAGATGGAAAGGCTCATTAACCAGTCGTCAAACTTGTTAGTATTACAGTACTTCAAATAACCTATTTCTAGTTGAATTTGTAGTAACCTTGAGAACTGCAAGTCACTGAGTGAGCAGCGAAAGAGCTTGTGTTATCCAACCAGCAGGACAAGCTGATCTGTAGCTAAGTGAGAGGAATGTTTGAATTTAAATGGCTGTTTTTTTAAACCTTCCCAAGCATCAAGAAAGCATCCACTACAGAGTAATGGAACCAGACAATACAAAGCAAGTCACCTTCAGTTGTTCAAGAGTGCTTCAGGCCCAGTCCTATCGTTCAGTTTCGATTTTCATTTGTACATAAAACAATAAAGAAGGATTTTCACATTAGGACAAACATCTACAGAAAGCACTCTGTTTCAATATATCCAGTTTGCTTGTTATTCTTCCAGCCTAACTTCTTCCTTAAACCCAGTCAGCCCATTTCTTCAACCTGTTCTGTGAAAAATCACAAGTTCTTTACAATGCTAGTAGAAGATAAGGAATAAAAGGGCTTTCTCTAATCAAAAGCAAAGGGCCACAAAGACTTGATAAGAATCAAGTTAGAAATTTCAAAAATCCTCTGGAATGACTCCTCTAAACTGAAGAGTGTACATTATATAGATACTGCTATACTTTACTCATATCCTAATCAAAGCAGGTCCAAGTTAAGATTATTCATCTCATCTTGATCATTCTCTTATATTTACCATTAGAAAGCACTGCAGAAAACAGGGAGTCCTCTTTTTGACTAGCAGTCGTTTATCCTGCGAGACCTTTCTGAATATATCAACACAAAGTGCATCCTTCTGAAAACATGCATCTTCAAGAGTGGTTTCCCTTACAACACCTGCACAGGTACTTTGTTTTTATTGAATTGTTTAACAGAACTGTTTCTTTTAAGAAAATAGGATTCCGTACACCAATATTTTTAAAGGGTTTCTTACACTCCCAAACAGCACCTGGCCATGATTGCCTTTATTAGAACCAATTACATTACGGATCACTACGCTTTCATATACCCAATTTCACTGAACAAATCATACTCTGCATCAGGCTATCTAACATCAACTGCCTATCTGGCAATCTAGTACTCACCATCTGTATCATACAAACAAACCATGTTTGTTTCTATCTTCTAAAAATGAAAAATTGATAATTTCTCAATAGGTCACTATTTAAATACGTTCCAGTTCTTTTCATTTCCCAAAGCCAATGAGGGGCTGCTGCATTACAGAAAGAAAAGAGTTAGTTTACTACCACTACTACTTCAGGAGTTCAAGAAAACAAACAAACAAACAAACAGAGTTATAGCCTTTCACTTCCAGACGTCTAAAATAGCCCAGAGACAATTGCATATCAAATCTCAGCAAGACCAGATCTGGAATTTGCCACAAGGGAAAATCTCTAACTACCTTCCATGTCACCCTACTGAGCATTTCACCTTTAAAAGCTTAAAGAGCTGCTGAACAGAAAGGGCACCTGCCTTTAAGTACAATTTTCAGATTTGTATTTGAATGCTGGACATTGTTGCCAAACAAAGTGTACAATTGCAAAAGCATAAGGCTGAGTCAAGTGTAAGTAGAAGTGTTTCACAAATTTCAGGTCTGTCATTTTTACTTTCAGTAGCAACAGTCTGGGCTCTTAGTTTCAGGCCAAGACTTGGAAAGATACAGAATCACTTGTGCTTTGATTGGCACATTATCTGCTTTTTAAAAGGTAAAATTAATAGACATTTGCAAAAGGTTGTGCAAAACTATTGTATTTACAAAAATGGCACAAGAGTGAATTCAACAGTCTATGCACATGCACACTTCATTCACATCTTCAACAAAAGTGTGTCCTAAGCTACGGAGCTGAAAAGAATACCAGCTTCAACAGGCAGTTGTCAATAAGCACTAGATTCACAAGAGTTACACCAGAATGGGCAAATATTGCCCAAGTAAAAACTCTATTGTTAAAGCTGAAACAGGTTTAAGGCCGTTCAAGTTCAAGAGCAGAAACAAAATTCAATCAGAGCCCTGTGTTTGTTTTTATACATGCTTTACCATCTAGCAACTTGTGGTCTAAACCTCTATTTTAGACAACAAACCCAAACACAGAAGAAAAACCCAACACAACTGGAGGTTATATTAAATACAAATATGCTGTAATTAAGGTGAAATAACAAAAGCAGAAACATTGAAGTTGTAAAACTTGCGATGTCACTTGCTGGAACCAGTCCTACACTAGGAAATGGGCAATATGTACATTTTCAAGTAGAATACATTGCTCTAACCAAACTTGTCCTTTTTTTTTTCTTTTTAAATCAGTGCATTGTTCTTAACTAGTCCAAACACTACACGTTTTACTCTAAACAGTACTCCCTTACAATAGCAGCACATGCTACCGCTACCTGCAAAGCTGTCAGTCTCACGACTTAGTGTAAGAAAGAAAAAGGGGATGTGAGGGTGAGAAATAACTATTAAGGAGAAATAACAGGAATGAGAATTATCATGCAGTTCAGCCGTTCTCGTCAGCCAGCCAGCTTGCTAGCAACAAGAGATGGTTTCCGCTGTGGGAGATCCTGTGGAGTAGGAATATGGTCACCAGTGACTTCTGTCTTGTCAGGAGCTGCAGTAGGCAGTTGCTTATTCTTCATCTTCGCTTTAGCCATGTTGTAATCACCAGAATCAAAGTACTTTTGCTAGAAGACAAAATACACACATGATTAAAAGCCTGAAATGTTATCAGATACATAAACTGAATTCTGTGGTTCTATAGATTCATTAAAACTTAATTGTTATAAAATGATCTCATTTAGCAAGGTAGGGCTCTACATCAATTCAAAAAAATTCAAGACTTAAGAACACAACTCTAAACATCAGTTACAGTGCAAGTTTAGTGACATATGCAGGGCCCTGACCATACACATATGTGAACATTATTCTAATCCTACTGCTCAGAGGGCTTTGCTCTACTGCAAATGAAACATGGGGGTTTGTAAATTACACTGCAGTGCACAAGTTCTTCTAGACAGAATAACCAAACAGTATCTGAAGGAAAGCTGGAGAACAGTCTCTGCTTTATCATACCAGAAGATCAAAGCACCATGAAACCGCACGCTAACAAGAAAACCTTTTTTTCTGCATACATTAAAACAGTGAAACCATAATCCCTGAAATTCCCAAACCAATTATTTAGTTAAGCCAGATCTACCATGCAATCCTGCTACAAAGCATTGTGTGAAGGAAATTCTTATCCCAGGCTCCAGGATTCTTCAGAACAGAAGTGTCTGAATTTGTAAAACAGCACGTCTCAGTACTTGGGCTAACAGTTAATAGCATTATCTTTACTATTCTTTGTTAGCACGTTGCACTAAGATGAGACATGGAATTTCATCCAAAGCCCCCATCAAGTCTTTAACTGCTCAGTGTTTGGGGAAATTGGTTGTATTTTGTTTACATCTTACTACGAGGTCTCCTATTAACGTGCTTATAACCATGATTTGCACAGATTGTCAATTGAGGCCAAAAACCAGGTTTGGGACAGAGATTTACTCTAGCAACTGTTGCTTACAATGGATAATCACCTCAGACAGAACACTGCCCCTGTAGCTTCACACGGACTCCTCAAAGTCAGCTGAACAAAAGCCATCACGACCTGCACTTCCGGGCAGCACTGCAACTACACTCTTCATTTCATATTAGCACACATCAGCTGCAAGACGTCCAGCAGCAGCTGCTGAATGGAAATTATTTCAACACCTAACTTGAAGAGTCTCTACCAAACATAAGGAGGCAGGGCTGGTCTGTTTTCAAAGCAAGGCCCCCTGAAGGTGGCTTTAAATGTTCCCTTTTAGAGCCTGTTAGAACCTCAAAGTCACTGAACCTTTTTTCCATGCAACCAGAGCACCTGAACCCCATATTTTACCAGCCTGTCTTCCCAAAATTCAGCCCTTTTGACAAAATAATCAATTTTGCTGTTGTTTGTTTTTACTGTGCTAGAGCACCTTGGTACATCTGCAGACTAGGATTTAGTTATAATGTAACCTGATTTGGAAACAGGCTTTCATATTTAGTTCTTCAAGACTGAAGAAACCAACAAAAAAACCTTTTAAACAGGAACTAGGTAATAACAGAGTTCCTCAATCTTCAGATGTGTTAACTGTTCACCCTGTCTGTATAGCAGACAGTTCCAAACAGAACCCCTCTACAGGAGCATCCATTCTTAGTATTATTCTGGGAAAAGTGTGCTAATCATGGCACATGCACACAAGGTAGAACATTTCTGGACTGCAAGCAGCAACGGGCAGCATGTCCCACTCGCCAAATTAAAGAAAAATCTGGGCTACAGTTAACTACATAGATTGAGAAGAATACCTGCAGGAAAAGATACCTTTCCATCTTTCAGAAATATCAGCCCATTTCTGTTTGTAGTACTCCTGTGTTCTCCTCTGATTTGCTCTGGCTTCTCACGGGTGGCCTGTATTATGGCCTCCCTTTCAAACTGATTCTACTTATATCCAGGTGTCTTCACAACACAAAAGCTATCTGACCACACACTCACTACTGTCACTCTACTCTGAACTTCAGTGATCCAGAAGTATTTATCTAGGGGTCTTACACCAAGTAAAGATTTCCTCATTTAAGACACAGAGCATGCTAAACAAAAATAACAGAAAATAAAACATAGAAGAAAGGCATTAACAACACGTCCCAAATGGAGAACTGAAGAAGGCAGATTAAAAATCAGAACCCACACCTCCATGCCATCTTTCATCATATCAGCAGAATCCCAAATGCTGAGGCCATTAAAACGCCCACTGGCCTCCCAATACTTCCATTTAAAACTATAGCCTGTAACAAGCTTTCATGAAGCAGAGCTACACCAAGATGAAGATCTTGCATAGATTATCTTGTTGGTTTGTTGTTTTTTTTTTTTTTTTTAAATCACATTTGCACTGAGTGCCAGCAGTCATCATAATTCCTTCGTGCCCAATCCTTCTGGATTGGATGCTGGTCTGTCTCCCTGAACAATCAGTACAACACATACTTACCTTGCCTCTGGAGTGTCTACACAGACACTGAACCCACTCGCCTCGTTTGGGTTGTCTTTGACCACAGAAGTCATCACCACATCTCCCACCTGCCCACCCCCAGTGCACATGCACTACTCCGTGAGAGAAAGCTCATCCCAGACACCTGCCAACAGTAACCACTCCCCAGAGATGTTACCAGATAGCACAGAATTACATCAGCACTGAACTCCAACAGCTGGTCTGTGAAGGATTTAGACTTGGAATCATTGCGTGCACTCAAAGGCCTAGATGAGAGTAAATAACAGCACAACAGCAATGAAAGCACCTTCAGAAATAACGACAGACCAGGATTATTCTAAGAACAGAATTTTAACATGCCTGAAAAGGATTAGGTCATCACTTCATGAATAATTGAATGAGAAAAGAAACACAGTTGAATAACTAAGAACATAAGAGACACTGGTCAAACGTGGAGCAAAACTGAAACCCAAATTCACTCCCCCTTCTTTCATTCTAACTTTTTGCCTGTGTGTATGTTCAGAATTACACCGCCGTTCTCCAGCCACGGATGCCAGCTGGTTGCTGTGAACTCCAAGCTGTCACATGCTAAAACATGAACACCAACAGTGGCCATACATCTTGAAAACGCAGGAATGGTAACACGAGGTCAGCACAAAAGGATGAGATTCTGTCTCACAGTGTTCACTGCATTTTCTTTGTGGAAGCCCAGCACTGCCATAGTGAGCCAGCTTCTAACCTAAGTTTTTCTTAAAATGGCAGCTGAGCCATTGGTGTTGTATGCGACTATCCTGTCAGTTCAGCATTTGTTCTGTGAACGCCTTCCCTTGAGCTTTCACAGATAAATTCACAGTGCTTCTACTCACACAGAGAATCACAGATACCATAACTTTGGAATTTCTCATCTGTACCCTGTGGACAATAAAGAACTCACTCCTTTTTGAAGCCTCTTCCTCAAGAAGTCTGAGCCTCCTGGCTTCTGGCCCAGATGAGGGTATCTTGCTTTCAATTTTGCTTCTTCAGCTTTTTCTGGGCTGATCACCTTATCCTCCATTTCCTGAAACAAAATTAGCAAGACTTTTAAAGAAATATTACGATGAATTATTTATGTAGAATGCATCTGCAGGTAATTTACCAACACACAGACTTCTGGACACGTATTGGAATCTCTTCAACACATCTCCCTTTCATAGACAATTCGCTGTTACTAAAAGCAAACTGTTATCAGTTTTGAACAAAACCAAGGTTCTATCAGGAACAAGTGTGAAAGATGGGTAAGAACCATGGGAGTTCTCAATTACCTGCCTCATCATGAGGTTCAACATATTACTCTCGTAACAATCTAGTTTTTATGACTCTGCTGCAACTTTAAGACATTGATATCCATTGTGAAATAGCATTAAAGTAGCTCAAAAACATTTCTGCTACCATATTAATAATAAACATTACTGTCTTTCTCACACTGGCCTTCTATGGGAGGCCAACACTATCTGTCATTAGAGAGATAGTTAAATGAAGACATTTCTGCAAAGAATACGCATATTTATGAGAACAGTGCAAAATACAGATGTTCAAAGAGATGATGTGAACAATTGTGTGGAAAAATTGTAGTTGGTCCATCAGCCTTTAATCACAGACCTCTACTTCACAGTCCTTCGCTCTGGTTCATGCAGTAATCGGATGTGAAAGCACAATTCTTTGTACTCTGTCATTTCAAAAATATTTTCCACTCAAAATAATGGTTACACTGCCTTCCAGTATTCAGCCACGACTGTTTTTTTTGCATGCAAGCCATGGCAAGTTCAGGAAAAATGTATATTGACAGTGCTGACTGCTGTACTTCTTGAACAGCAATTATCATCTGAAGTCAAGAAAGACTTTTAGTCAGGAAAGAACTGCTGCTGAAACCAGGAGGGCCTCACGTTCATCTGTGACCAAGGCTTCACTTTGAGCTGTCAGGCAGCCCCTTCAGACCCCCTGCCATCCACTTTGCGTGGTCTGCATTGCACCAACCAGCATGACTGCACGTATTCAATGTGAGTTACAGGAACAAAGTCATGGGAAAAACAACCACGTACCAATTCTTTTCCCTTCTTGTCAGTCTGTTCTTATTTGGGTCAATGTCCCCCTCAGGATCACCAAGCAGCTGCACAAGGACAGGGGAGCAGCTGGGAAGCCAACCCATGAGCTTGCCCTGACTAACAACAGCTCCCAGCTCTCTAACAGTCAGCACCCCCCAGTAAGAAACCTTGCAAGCAATGTTTACAACAGACTTAAAATATGACGTCTATCTGGTTGCTCCCTTACTCCAAGACCCTCTCAGAGACAGCATCTCACAACACAGCGGGAATCTGAATTAACAGTAATACCAAGGAAGGACAGAAATCCTTACAGCAGCTTGAGACACTTCCACAAGGACTGGAACCGATGCTTTTTAGTTGGACAAAAACAGTCAGGCACTACAATGCAAGATGCAGATAAACAAATAAGCACCTTCCCTGACACAACACAGAGCTATTCGCGCTCTCTCTCAGCGCACCGTATCACAATAGGGAAGTGCACACTTTTCATGTGTGTATGACAAACATTCTTCACCCGCTGTTGTTGCTCATGGCGGTTTTTTCTCTAACATGCCAACCTTGTCCTCTGACTCTGGACCTTCTCAAAGAGTGTTCAGCTCCTTACAGCTAAACACTCCAACATCTGATGCTGAATCATCGGGTGCTTGCTGCTGAGCCAACACGCACGGCATTTGAAGGGGCATGTTTTGCCAATACCAACCAAAGGAGATATTTTTAAGAACGGAGTCAACAATGAAGAGCTCACATAAATATGTGTTCACACACATCAAAGGAGGCATTTATGCAGACTCCCAGGGTTGACAAATCATGACACAGCAGGCAACCGAAACACCAAATACTGCATTGTGTATCAACACAGCTATAAATACAGACTGCAGTCAACTTCTCTTCATGACCCGAAACAGCTAAGACCCCCTAAAACTATATAGCAGGATAAAGGGCAATACAAAGACACAACCAGCTGAAAACAGGTTCAAAAATATCTAAAACAGTTCTACAAACCACCAGAAGTCAAGCTCCAGAACTCCTCACCAGTGGACGCAGGGGACACCAAGAATGCAGATGAATTGAGACAGGCGCTGGATGCGTTCAGCTGCAGCTCAGAAGGCCTTTATACTTTGACTGAGGAGACCTGGGGTAGCTTTCAGCGGAAGATCACTGCCTGCTTGTCCTGACCTTCTATCTTCTGTGCACTATGTGGCATTGAGCTCTCTTGAAGAGGCATCATTGCTACAGAAAGGCGTTAACCCAAACCCACAAGATCAATGGTACATTAGCAGTGTTTTCCCTTGAGTTATTATAGAAGCAGCAACCAAATGACTGACAACTGATGGAGAAAAATCAAGATGTACCACGCACTTCTTCCTAGTGACAACCACACAAATTGTAATTTTAGTTCTCTATAGGAATTTCTGCACAGCTAATGAGGTCTGCTCACTTCATTAAAATGAGCTACCAGCACAGTCAGTAGTTATCTAACACATTTAAAGATGGCTTCTGCTTTTAATCTTTGTGAAAAACAAGAGGTTTTCTCTCTGCTGGACAGCTGAACTGCACTACTAAGAAGAAGCCTTGTCAATCAGCGTTATGAATAAAGCTCACCCTCTTTAGTGAACGACATCAGATAAGAATATAAAGTAGAAAATGAGAAAAACATTACAGCAGTGAACTGTACAGTTACGGGAAAAGCCAGTCTGGAAACAAGAGGTACCACAGCTAACACCTTCCTGAAAAACAGGGACTTGTATGGCAAAACCAGCATCAATTAACAAGCACGTGTTCACCACCATCTGAAGGTTTCTTTGTTGCCTTACTTCCTCCTGCCACTATCCCAAGTTTTCACACAGAGAACAGGAAGCACTGCTCTTACGGAAAGTTTCCAGTTGACATCACCCTTCACTGAGCATATGTGTGAGCCTCCTGCAGCAGACGAGAACGCAAGGAAAGTCTCAACCTGCTGCCCCAAGGTTCCTTTGGAGATTCATCTTTAATAGGTACTGCAACTGGTCGGTCAGACAAGTACTGTGGAGCTGAGCATTAAATGCACCAATCCGACATTTTGCTTACCCAGACAAACGCTGAAGGCAAACGCTTCAAGGCCACAGTACCAATGTGTAGCTCTGACATCACAGGATAGGAACTCAGAGAAAATGAAGTTTTATTGACTTTCAATTGTGTTGAGCGGCTGCCCTGACTACAACTAAACGAGCAGGTCAGCACGGGATCCTATCTGTCCGGCAGACAGCAGCGTTTCAGAGCAGCACACCAGCACCGCATTTCAGGACTTCAGACCCAAACTTCGTCGGCATCAGCGCCGGCCCGCTGACATCCCCAGAACACGCTAGAAGGCAGCAGCACAACGAACGCCGCCGCAATTCGGAGCGCTCCGGTTACAGCGCTATCCAGCGGCGCCGCGCAGCCCGGCCGTCGCTCGGAGCTTCTCCCGCCAGTGCGGAGAACACCGCGCTGAGGGAACCGGGCCCCGCTCCATTCCAACTCCCGCACCTTCCCCCCCTGCGTGACTAACGTGTATCGAGACGGTGAATTATCAAACAAAAACTTCAGACCGCCGGGACGGGCTGCTCTTTTCCCTCCGGAGCCCCTCACAGCGGCGCACCCGTGTTTCGTAACTTCTCCGCCGGCAGCAGCTGTGGGGCCGGCAGCCGGCGATCAGCGGTGCCCACATGGCACGGACGGCTCCGGGAGCCGCCGCCGCGAGGGCGAAGCGTGGCCGAGAGCATCTATGGTCGCGAGCGCCGACAGCGCGGCCGCCGTTCTCTGGAAGCCTTCGGCAGCGCGAGCCGCGGGCGGCCATTGTCTGTGAAGCTCCACCGCCGGGGGCACGGCCGGGCAGAGCGCGGGGTTATGGAGGGACGGCACGGCGCCGGGGTTCCCGCGGGCCGAGGCCCTCCGGCGCGGACGGGAGCGCCGCGTGCCGCCCGGAGCGCAGCGCGGGGCCCGGAGCGGCGATGCCGCTCAGTCGCGGACGCCGAGCGAGGGCAACGGGGACCGAACGCTCATCCGCTCCCAGGCTCAGGCCCCCTCCCCCCGGGCTCCCGGCGCTGCCCTCTGAGCCGCTCCCCGGCGCCTCCGCTCCGCCTCGCAAGGCGCGGACGGAGGCAGGGAAGCGCCCCGCGCGGGCCCGTTCCTCTCCAGAGTGCCGCCGCCACCCACCTTCTGCTCCTCGGCCGAGGCGGGCTCGGGGCTCTCAGCAGACATGGCGCCGCGGCAGCAGCACGGCGGGCGGGGCGCCGCTCCTCCGCGCAGCGCAGCACAGCGCTCCTCCGCCTCCGCACAAGATGGCGGCGGCTCACAGGACGGCGCGCCAGCGAGACCACACTTCCTCCGCGCTCAGCCTCCCGTCGCGCGCAGCCACGCGCCCGGCGTCTCTCGGGGGTAACTTCCGGTGTTGGCCCCGCCCTCCGTTACGTCACGCCGACTTCCGGGCCGTACTGGGTTACCGGAAGTGCTGCCGCGTTCTCCTCGGGGTCGCGCTCGTTCGGGCGTCCTGTGGGAGGAGCGCGGGCGGCGGCGAGGCGCTTAGGAGCGTCCTCGCGGGCTGTGGGTGTGCCGTTACCGCGCTGTCCCCAGCGCTCAAGGAAATCACAGCGCAGAGAACCCAGCGGTTCCTTGAAATTGTGCTTTAAGAGAATAAACGTAAAGCATCCAGCACAAAGATGACCGTGAGTTAAAAACCTCCGGAACAGCACAAGTGCTTCACATGATATAGGAGCACATAAGGAATGTGTAGGATCGCAGATGACTGACAGCTGGCCCGTTTCCCTGAGTTCAAACAGGAGTGAGAGCCGGGCACGACAGAAGCTGTGCAATGAGGCAAGATGAAAACAAGTTGACACCCTCTGATACTGAAAAAACAAGTATTGTAATGGCACGTATGAAGAGAAGTTTCATAACGAGACGTACCTACCCATCCTTCTACACTAATGGGCACAGAGAGGCCCTGCTTGTCCAACTTGAGGCATTTCAAGAGATTCAGCTAATGGGAGGAGACGAGGAGCCAGAATGACAAGGCAGAAAATGTACAAAGCAAGGCTGGCTGAGCAGTCTGCCGTTGTTTCAGATACAGAAAATAAAATTGAGGAAGAGCATATGGGAAGTAAACTCTGCTTACTGTGAAAAGGACAAGTAGTACCTGACTTCATTAGCAAGCTCACGTTGGACATTAGAAAAAACTCTCTCAGTAAGTGAAGTTCAGCTAGACAGGATGTCTGTGACTTCCATCACTAGAGGCCCTCAAGCCACTTGGAAACATTTGTAAAAAAGTAATTTCATAAGGCTGAACCTATTGAAGAGCAAATAGAAAAAGCAAATGGCCTCTTAATATTAGTCTAGTCTCAGTCCTTTCTTGACTGATGCAGAGAAAGTCACATGGAGCAGAGTTCACGTTTTGCAAACGTTTAACATTTATCCATGTGTGTCTTTAATGAGTTGTGCAACTCAACTGTGAATGGAAAATTACTTCAAGTTGCACATGGATAACCCGAGGCCACTTTCATTCTGAATGGCACTGTACAGGGACTCAGTGCAGTTTGACTCTTTAAGTCAATACAAAGTCACTACATGGACATGACTTGTAGTGACTGTATCTCCAAAACCCACACTTCTCTGCTGTTCAAGACAAATAAATATATTACTCCAAAGAGAGAAAATGATGGATTGAACAAGTCATTTAAAGATATAGACATAAAATCATTGCACATCGTCAGTGCAAAATACAAGGTTAATCCACTAAAGGTAAATTATGACTTTTAATGAAGTGTCCTTTTCCTGTCCCCTTGTACCATCAGGTACCCAAGCAGGTGTGCACCATGACACAGACAAGTACTTCTAGGATACGTGCTGTTTGCTCGTGACTGAACATACAGAGAAACTAGGATGCACTCTCATTATACTACATTAGGTCCCAGTTACATATGCAGTACAACTGCAGGTGTACTTGATTCTTCTCCTACCAAGAAACCTTTTTCAGCCCTACAGGACACCCAAATGACTAGAAACTGCAAGCAATTTCCTTGTACAATTTCTCCAAGTTTCATTAAAACAAATGCTGATCTTTGAAAACGCACTGTAACAGGGAAAAATACTGCTTCAGCTGAAACAGGTTCAGTAACATTTGGGTTCTGCCCTTCTATAGCAGCCGCCATTTGAATACACAAAAAAGTTGATAAGTCTCATCTGGAAAGTCTGGTCTCCCTTACTGTCCCTGGCAGACTTCCTGGAGATTTTGTGGTGCTCTGACTTCTCAGCCCATCTGAGAGCAGCACTGAACATACAACACACACATTCACTTGTTCTCCAGTCTTCATCAGATAAGGATGTTACACTCCCAGATGTGAAGGTCACCTTTCACATTACTGACACTACAAAAAAGCATAGCGGTGTAAGGAAAAACATTATCCAAGGTAAGACAGCAGAGAAACTCCGAGATCTTTGGCAAGCGTTATAAAGCTTCATTTTCATTATTAAATATATACTTCAAATATAGTCAAATGCTTCTAGCTTTATTTCTCTCAGTTACACAGTTTAACACTTAGCATAAACTGTTTATCTGATTGTGATTTGTTTTGGGAATACATGTATTGGAAAGCATTTATATGCCCAACATAGCATCTCTAGTAAAACTTTATATAGCCACCTAGTGGCCTACATGGAATTGACCTATTAAAAATATTTAGGATTACATGAAGATCCTCCTTATCTAAAAATAAAACAAAGTACATGTTCCATAGCTTTTGCATATATTTAAGATATAAATGCTAATTTGTTTGCACAGTACATCCTTCAGCACAATCTGAGAAATCAAGTGTGGAAGGTGGGAATTATATGAAACACCAACAGACAGCAAAGTCAATGTGGCTGTTTTGGAAAGAAAGGAATGGAGGGAGCCAAACATGAATTGAATCAAAGATGTGAATGCAAGGGTAAGTAAACAAACATTCCACACCATGGTTGCAAGTGTTATTAAATCTGTATGAGAGGAAAAAGAAAGAAGGGTACCATTAAGGAGAAAAAAGAAAGCTGAATGTTTGCATAGTATGAAATGTTATGGAAATTCAGCTGTTGTCCCCATTTTCAATAACTTAAATGAATATCACTTAAAACATCACACAGATTAAAGACATCTGTATATATTTCAGATTCAATATTAATGCCAAAAATACATAGTATGATTTTACATAGGATTTATGCTACATTAGAACACTAAAGACAAACATCACTTGAGTATTAAATGAAACATTAAATATTAAATAACTGAAAAATAAAATAAAAAGTGTAAACACTAAGCTAACTTAGGAAATTGCTATTGCAACACATCCAATGAAGTGGTTTTAAACAGTACAAAAAGATTAGAAGTACGCTTCCAGTCTACATGGAATACACAAAGCTCATTCCAGAAACCTGTCACAAAACTGGTCCGGGATCACACAAGAACCTTCTCTCTCGAGCGCTATCCTCATTCCTTTTCAGATTTAATTTTATACAGCTTTACCAATTTTCTCTTGCACGGAGCAATCAACAGTAAAATGAATACTTCAGTTTGCCGCTGTCTGCTAACATCTTGGGGAAAACTGAGGGTTTGTTGGAGATTCAGTGTAAGATTTGAGTTCGTATGCAGCGCCGCTATCAACTTCCATGGACTTCCGAGAGAACAGGAGCCTAACGTCTCGGTGGAGGTAGATCTTTCCAGATTTAGAACTCTGGAACCTGAAAAGATATGGGCAGATATATTATGTATAACATACACGTACACCAATCAGAAAAAGATTAACTTCAAATACTGTTGAATTATATGTGGAACTTTAAGAAGTTAAGGCCAAAAAACCCATGCGAACATCAAATGAGCTCTTAAGTGAGCAGCAGGTTAAAATGAAAGAAAGAAGAACGTTTCCTAGCTATTTTCTCTATCCAAACCTGCCAGAAATGTGCCAGTATCATTTGTCCTAAAATTTAACAGCTATAGGTAAGACATAATTTGCATTTTAGAGAATTGCATTCTATAGTCTTCATCTGGCTTAAGAACTCCTTAATTCCCTTTCCTGACCCAAGAAGAACAGAAGATCAAGGAACATTTCTTAAGGCAGCTGAACATCACTATCAGTATGCCACAGTCACGGAGAACAGCTATTGTGGTAGGAATTAGGAAGAGAAAAGAAAGAACACAGAGAAATGCTCACATAGAACCACACTCTGCACAATCACATATCAATTTGAATAGAATTTGCACAATTTTTAATAAGCATTTACTCACAGACCATACTAAAGCAAGAGCAGCATCTCTATCATAGATGCAGACAATCAGATTGAAATTCTGAGAGGAGTGAGAAAGACAACAGCAGACCCAGAGGAGCTGCAGAATCACTGCACTCTTTGCCACAGTTTCACTCAGCAGAGAGGCAGAACAGCCCATAACCATCCATACAGCCAGACAGAAAAAACTTTTGCTCTTCCAGATACGCTGCCAAGGGCATTAAAAGTAGTGAGGTCTAGCAGAATGCTCCTACTGCCCCCAAAGTGCTCCCATCCATCATTTAGTTGCTTCGTGTTGTCAGTACGAAAGCCCTTCACCTAGCAGGCAAAGAAGAGAAGTTTCTATCCCAAGAGGAGATTCTGAAGGACAGCAAACAAAGGAAGAGAGTAAAAGAGATGAGGAGCCAACTGAACACTGCAAAAAGTCAGCATGTAGCACATAATGCATTTTTAAATTAAAAACATTACTGAAAGATGTTCCGAAGCACAAGTACGATGGACTACATTAGCTCATATGGAATAGATAGATCTGGTTATCAGAGCATTATTGTAAACTATGCCTGAATTATTCTCATTTTACACAGGGATCCATCAGGAGATTATCAAGGTCTGTTTTTTAATCATCTCAAGCTTGTTATTTTCAAGTAGTACGAATCCTGTCAGATTCCCTTTGCTCAGTAAATATGGCTCCCCTGCAACTGGGCTTTTCTGAGCGTGACATTTCACGAAGATCGGAGGAGGATGTGTGGGAGATGGTAATTAAGTTTGGGAGATTCTTCTGATTTATGCTTCCATTGCCTCTATTTTTCAGAAGTACCTATCACAGTCACTGGGATGTGTGGCCTCGGGTTTTCACATGTGCAAGTGCGTGGGAATTCACAGCAGACAACCACACACCCCTGCGGGTGGCAGCGCAGTGGCCAGCACAGGACTGGCCCTGGAGCTGTGGCAGTTCCAGTGGTTTTGTGTAAGGGAATCAAGAAAAACACAGCAGACATTTCTGACAGATGGTGTCCTAGGAACAGCACCAATGTACAAATATAGGAAGGCTTAAAAACACAAATAACAGATGAGCTAGGAAGATTGGCAGAGGAAAAGAAGCTA